TTAAGACCCTTTTTTCTGTTTTTCCCTCTGGAAAATATAGGACTTCTCAGGTGAACTAAAGCAGCCCTCGTGTGGCTGAGCCAAATGATATCCTCCAAGGGTCTCTGTGGACTGCTTTTTGTGTCTGCTCATCCCTCAGAGCCCATTTGCATGGGGGGACAGAGAACTTGGTGGGGAGGGAGATGCAAGTTAGAGCCAGAGCAGAGATTTTAGAGAAAATAATGACTTAAAACTGGTTCTTCTGTGTGTTTCAGGCCTGGACTTTTTTTTTTTTGTTTTTTTGTTTGGGGTTTTGTTTTTTTTTTGTTTTGCTATTGTTGCTGTTTTGGTTTCTGGTTAGGGATTTCGAGCTGTGGAGGTCTTTGAAAGGATAAAGAGAAAAACCAAAACAAAAAACAACTGATTGCCACAAATGGAAAAGGAGAGCTCTTAGAAATAAAATGTCATGAAGGATAGCTCATAACTCATCTCCTGTGTCAGTGCCACATTATCCACCTTTTCTGACATATTTTCCCCCCTCAAGGACCAATCCAGCAATAAATATGTGTTCAGAGGTCAGCTGTACTTGATGATCACTGGAATGTCAATCTCCTCAAACACCTTATTTGCAGCTCTTAGGTTGTTGTTCTTTCCCAGCTGCATTATTTATTTCCAGGTAAGCTATGTGAGTGACCTCCACACAGAGGAGAGCTTCTTGGAGTGCTGAGGGGAAGCCTTCATCCAGGTATCATGGTAGTGAGGTTGAAAAGACCACTGAAAAAGAAAATACATCAATATAGGCTTGAATTACCCCCTATGTTCTACAAGTTACAAACCACTTTTAGGTTATAAAAACTTATAAGATACCCAGTCATTCACATTTTTAAAAATCATGTTGTTATCTGGGAATTTTTGCAGAAAATTTTACCTCTGACTCAGTGAAAAGGTTTGGAAAAAAGGACATATATGGAATTCCATGTTTTCTGAGCGGAATAAAAACTCATAAGAGGTGCGACACAGTTCACCTACAAGTCAGTATTTCAAAGCCAGCTGCAGCGGATAATTATGACTGAGCTTTGAAAACTCACATGAAATAACCAGAGAGGCTCCATCCTGTTCAAAGGGGACAGTCATATCAAACATCTAAACACCACTGCTGCATAATGCTTCCATATTATTAACTGTTAAAAAATGCATGGGCTGAGCAGACAGTTTAACATAGTCAGCACAACATTTTATCAAAATTTTCACTGTTTTAGGTGTTTTTCTTTAAAATCCCAGTTATGACTGTATTTGAAGGTCAGATTTCAAAACAATTATTTACCTCTCCTTTTAAGTGAAACTTGATAGCTGAACCCTATAGAAAAAAAAATCAAACCACCAAATGAGATGCTATAAAAACATATGGTTTTAAAACCTCTCTTGAAGGCAAAGACAATCTCATGATTATTATTAATAACACTACATCAGTGTGTAGATCAAAGTTAAGGACAAAACTGCATTTTAAGTTGTGAAAGGTCACACTAATCTTGGTACCTGTACTTGCCAGGTTTATTTATATTTAATGCCACCCTGACTGCAATTTATAAAGGGCATCTATCTTTTTCTCATATAAAAATATGAATGCACTTTTAAGATTTATATAGAAGAGAAAGAAAATAGAAACTTGCAAAAATTTATGATTGATAAGAATAGGTTTATACTTAAAAACTAATTCTACAAGTTGTAGTAAAAAATATGTTTCATTTTAACCTTCATTTTTCTACAATTTTTTTCTATGGTTAGTCCAAATCTGAGAAATAAAAGAACATGCTATATTATCCCTGTTCAATAAACTATGTGTGGTCTGGGTTTTTGAGCAAAAAAGTTAGCTTAAGGCTTATAATAAAAATGTGGAATGTCATGAACTGGTCATGGGAAAGATTTGCAACACCAACAGATTATTCAGTAATGGTAGAGGCAAGCAAATAAAAGAAACATGTCTGTCATCAGTAATAATGTGATGACACAGGGAAGGTCACTTTTGCCAGAATATTCCTTCCTTCCTCCTGGGAACATGAAGTACCTAAGTACATGATCATGTGCCTGGAGGAGCAGCAATAGTGCCTGGGATCAATCATCCTGTCTCTTGAGTGGAAAAAGAAATTCTCCAGAGTCCACAAAATCAAAATGAAATTAATTCACGTACAGGTCAAGAATTGCAACCACTGGGTCCGTGAGTGAAGTGTGAGGGACAGTTGAAGAGTCATTGAACAATTGTGCCAAAATATGGAGAATTATTCTGAATGTCTCATCAAGCAAAATTTTTGATAACAACCCCTTAAAAGACAAACACTGGATCTTTTTCTTGTCTTTTATAGGTTCTGTTGTGAGCTGGCTTTCTGTATTTCTGAAATTAGCCATTCAGTGATTTTCCCTGAAATTTTCTTGCTCCAAGTGTTGGGTTTTTTTACAAGTATTCTGTTACAAGTGTATACTCCTCATCTTTTAAACTGGCTCTGAAGTAAGAATTACCCAGAGAAATGTTACCAAATTTATTTTCATTTCTTTCTGTAATGTGGCCCAGTTCTTTTCAAGCTCTCCAAACCTCAATGATGGGCTTTGTCACAATTTAGAATACAGCTCAAGTCAAGCATTGTGAAGTAGGAAGAACAGGAAGTTAAATATGTCAAGGAAAAAGGCTAAAATGTTTTTATATGTCTTGCTATCTATATTTGGTTGAAATATGCCATTTTGTTTAATATTTCAGGATGATAGTATTGGCATGTTTTCCGTCACTTGATTGAAGAATTTGAAACTACAGGCAATACAGAATGTTAAATATAAGAAATTTACATTGCCAAACACCATGAAAAATATATATACATGCACACATATAAAACTTCTATTTCAATTCTACTTTAAGAAAAAGCCAAGCACATTTAAAGCCTGTTTCAATTATTTCACCTTTTTGTTTTGTTCCTGAGTTATGCTGACAAAGAGAAAATGCATCCCAAATAATATTTTAAAGCCATCAGTTAATGTTCTATCATACATCACCACATATTTCAGTTCCCAGGCGTTTCAGCAGTTATACAGCTGTTATTTATGGCACTTGCTACTGCTTTATACATTGATTATCAGAAAGGGAATAGGAGTTGGGCTTTTTTCCTCTGAATTCTCTTCAAGAATGAAAGCAGGAAAAAACCCAAATGTAAACAAATAGTGATAGTGTTGCCCTGCTTTTGTGTAGCTGAAGTTGTTTTCCTTTCAGCTTCTCTCCTACAGACTCCTACTCTAAACACACCTCTAAGGAATATTTCTTAAGGTTAAACTGGCAAGTGGCCTTGGTCTTCCTGTTTTTAACTATTCTAATTCTTCCATTGTATCTACTACCAAAATATTCTTTCTGTATTTATATAGTAGGGTCTTATACAGCTACACAAAACTGAAGCAGTATTCAATTATCTCTTTCTTAACAGCTTTCCACTATCAAGAACCTAAGATAATACAGCTCCAAAGACAACACAGTACAATGTTAAGTGAACTTTAATAGTAAACAAAAGATGGCAAGTGTTCTCTCTCCCCACCTGTCAAAGCAAAATAAACACTAAACGAAAAGTACAATCATTTCAGTTTAACAAAACATGAACAGTGACACTACGTTTCAACATCAGCAGGCAATCATTAGCACATAGGCCAAGTTATCACAGGAGAAAGGAAAACAGATGAATCATTTAAAAGAAATGGCCTGTTACTAGAAACACTAACTCATATTTGACAACAAATGGCATCACAAGAAAGATCAAATTGCCATTCCCACAAGCATAGGTTATAGAAGCAAAATGGAAGAGATGCTCCTCGTGATAATTAAGAACTGAAACAATCATATTTTAAATATTCATTATAGAAAGACAGCTTCACTCCTTAGAAAACATTTCCAGGTTGCAAATGTGTAATTTACTTTTTTTTTCCTTCCTTGTTATGAAGGATGAAAGACCCCAGCATCTGCTGCTCTACACAATCAGTCTGCTCACAACACTGCAAAGTTGGGCACTTAAAGGTGAAAATATGCAAGAGGCTCTTTGCTCATTACTCATTTCTGCAGGTCTGTGAAACTCAAAGGATTAAAACTTCACATCCATTGATTACAAGCCTAGGGAAAGGACTGGATTGGTGCAGCTAATACCCAGCTTCTTTTTAAATAGAAAGCCACAATGACTTACTCTGCCTGCAGAAATAAGAGAATCTGGCTGGAAGAAGATCTCCAAAATGTGAAGGGCAAATCTTAACACAATGAACTTTTGGGGGGATTTCTATTCCCATGGTGAGAAAACAGCAGAGGTGTTAATTGTGAACTACAGTTCAATATAAAGGCCCCACAGAGTACTTTGTACTCAGTTTTGTTTCTTATGAAAGGCCCATTTTTTTCACCTAAAAATTCAATCTCCAGCCCCTCTGTTCCACTCAGAATTCATAGTTATGCCTAATCTGCTGCTTTTCTGGCTCACTTACAGGCCCTGTTGGCAGGTAGTGAATGCAAAATAATTTTAATGGTGGAACCCCTGGGAACGGGAGCAAAAGTTTTAAGCATTTACAATTTTACAATGACGTACAGCCAGCTGTTAGATAAAAAAGGCCTCCAGCAGTGGAGCCCACTGGAATGGGAACTTTGGCGTGGATGTGTTCAACTCAGCAGTCTGCTAAAGAAGGAAACTAGATCAACCAAACAACAAAGGATTGGTCTGGATGGGAAACGTCCCGAGGACATATGGTACTTGTTAAAGCCATTGCACAAGGAGAGCTCCATCCCCAGTTTGAGGGCCACAAACAAAGTGAGGGCCCACAGAGCTTGAGGGAAGACAAAGTACATAAAATGGTTCAGAATGGCAGCAAGCAAGGGAAAGAAATAAGTGGACAAGGACAACTCCATATGTTGGACTGTTTGCACAAATACGAAATTAATTTGGATCGGGTCCAGAGCATATTTAGGGCAACACAATCAGACACTAATTCCCATCTTTTCTACTACTTACCTTCCTCTGAATAGCTCTAAGTGATGACAACTGGTGCCAAGTTTAAAGAAAATGGACTTAATTCATTTCCCTCTGAAATCAATAGAAATGTCTCTTTGTCTTCGGGGGAAGGCAGTTTAATCCATTTATGAGCAGGAGTACCTGCTCATAGCAATCCTATTATGGAACAATTAAAAAAATTATAACAAAGAGAAGAATAAACACTGTGGGTAAGAAATAATAAAACCCCCTGTTTTTAAATATGCAACATTTTCCCTTTGATACAAAAATAGCTATGATGCCCTATTTTACATTCATTTTGTCCAACTCATTCAGCTGATCAGTGGTTCACAGGGTACCTCTTTACCTTGTGTTCCTCTCTTTTGGTTTTCTCCACAGAATTGTTCCTTTAATTTTTCAAGTAACACAAACATTATTTTCATTCCAGTTCCCCCCAACACGTCCACAGGAATATTAAAATCAAAAACTATGTCTGAAAATCTGGTATTCATTGGTGTGTATAATTTTGTAAAGGAAGGAAATGCCCTTTAGAGCTGAACTCTCCTGAACTCCTTTATAGGGGGCTCAATCACACTTAGAGGAGGAAGAGGATGAACATTTTTCAGGTGGGAATCACCTGTGAGGGGAGGCACCTGCAGCTGCTTGTGTGTCTTCATCCTTGGAAGTTTTCAAGACTCACGTGGTTGAATTCCTGGGTAATTATGTCTGATTTCACAGCTGACCCTGCTTGAAACTCGTTGGCCAACACACCCCCATGAGGTTCCTTGATTTACAAACCTTGCGATTTTCCTAACCCCACCTTCTTAATCTCAATCTCCCAGCTGAGAGGGGGGGGAAAAAAAAAAGTCAGCTAAACAGAGTTACTTCAGTTAAAAATAAAATTTGAAATCTGTCTCTAGTGGACATGAGAAATCCTGTACTCCACATCTCCTCCCCAACGAAGAACCATGATATCTGTAGCATTCCTGACAGACCTATAGTTTTTGCTTTCCTCAAGATTTCCTCTGCAGAGTTATGAAGTCTTGACAACTCCTGCCAGTAATCCATTCTGATATGCACTATCCTCCTCAGGAAGGTTTATCTCAACTCTGTGCCTAAATACATTTTGCTACAGTAAAACTCCATAATTTCTTGCCCCAGCTGCCAGACATAGACAGAAGATTATTCCTTCCCTCTTTGCAGCATCTTGTTCTGCATTTTTCAATGAATCTCAATCTTTTTTTCAGTCTGAACAAGCCCTTGTCTTAACCCAACTCAGTTATAAATCTAGGCTAGGTGGTTTCCTTCAGAACTGGTACTGTCCCAGATCCCTACACCAAATGCAGCTGATTAATCTGCCTAAATGTTGGACTTCCACTCCTCCTTTCTGGACAATATCCAGAATTTTCCAAGTCACATCTTCAGCTTTCTAAATAATTATAATTTCTAATTTAAATCTAAAAGAAGTTCAAGTCCTTCATAAGTCTATCAGTCTCTCTATTGCAGCACCTGAGTCTTTTTTGAAAATATTAACCAGAATGTCAGAGTTATGTAACTAGGAGGAAGCTGTTATTTCCTGAACTTCTCTCCTAACTTCCTTCCTTTCTTCATTTCAAGTTAATTTCCTTCATCCCTCCCTAGGGCATTTACAGAGAACAGGCAACCTACTAGAGGAGAAGAATTCTGCCAGTTCAGCAGACAGATACATAATTTCATAGCAATAAAAGCCAAAATTCTGCCTTATTCTGAATGGAGGCAGAAACTTTGATGACATTCAGTTGTGTTTGAGTACCTTCAATATTTTTCTGGCTCTGTCAAAAAGACATAAAAATCACAGAGTGCTCCTCCAATATTCCAGTGTTAGGTTAGGTTTAATATTAGTAGGTTTAGTGCAGTTTAATAGGGTTTTATCAATGAGCAATTGAACTCCCTTTGCCTGACACTGGAGAAAAAGAGGATCACACAGGTGGAGACCTCTAGAAACCTTTATGTAAGGACTTAATTACATTAGCTGTAAATATCTATCAAGGACAGCAAAACATCTTTGCTACTTTCCATCCTATTTAGCACTAAGAAGGACACAGTATTCTTCCTTCCCTTCATCAGAAACTGAGTTTGTTCTCTGCACCCAGTCAGGATTGGCTTTGCCAGAGAGCCCATAATATATGTAATATCTCTGCCAGGTACATTGTTTTTCTCTGCAACAAAGAGGCTCCTCATGTTCCCCGAGTGTATCATGTGCTAAAAGGCATTTTCAAAATCTCAGTGGAGGAGAAAACAGTTTCCAAGATAAAATACTCTCGAGACAATTATAAAAGTGGTCAACACTAGACAAATAATCTTTTTAAAATAATTTTAAAAACAAAGGAGGAAGGAAGATTTCTGAGGCTCTCAGACCAGGGAAGCATTTCCCACTTAGTTTAAAGAAGAATCACAAGCTTGTCCTGGCACCTAGTAGTAGCAATACAGGCAAAATATCTCAAGGTATCTCCTCCCTTTTCCCAAAGTTTTCACAGCAGGTCTGGGGTGCAATAATGACAATCTCACTTCCCTGTTGCCAGTCCTTACCCTTCGTTTCAGAGCATTATAATGACATAGCAGCAATCCATCAAGCCAAAACTAAAAATTATTTAGCTGAAAAACAAAGTAGGGATGTTTGCCAGATTCTTTGAAGTCAGGTTCATCACTGAACCAATTCTTCAGTCAGGTTTATCACTTTTTCATGCAAGAGCTCGTGCTAGAATAGCAGGCACGGACACAAGGGTTAAGAGTGCATGGGTTGTATTATTAGCCAAACTCTAAGTGCAGTGTCAGAATCCCAGAAGACACATTAGCATGTTTGGAACAGTAGGTTGGTGGGAGGCAGGAATCTGTCACTGCATTTAAACCTGGTCTCACTCACACTAGCTGCACACCAACATGCTGCTCTCAGTTTTCATCCCAGTAAGAGGAAAAAAATCAAGACCAATGAGTTAATGAAATGTCGGGTGAAGAATCAGCTAAACATGTCAAAATGTCACAAAAAATATTGCTCCCAGAAGAGAAAGAATCAAAAGTTCACCAGAAATGGCATATGGCTGGCAATCATTATTAATAATCAAAGAAAGGGGAAAAAAAATCTTCTCCCACCCCACAATTCAGTCAGATGCCTCCCTGGCTACCACTCTAAAATGATAAATTACATATACTACAAAAGATTCCAAAATACACATGTCAGTCCCTCTACTTCAGGTTTTTTTACAGTCTTCTCAAAGATGCAGACAATGGAGGAACATCCCATACAGCTGAACCTCAATATTATTGAATCATTAAAAATAACAGCAACTGACTCTTAACCATAAAGATCAAATCCAAATCTCACCTCTTCTTAAATGTCATCCTGCTATCATCCCTCTCTTCTTTATTTTCTTTCTCCACATCATGTTTTTCATTATCAATTCTCTTCTGTGAGCATAGCTCTGAAATGAATTTTAGGGTGTTTTAGTTAATTTTCTTTGCCCAACCCAGAATCACATACAGGGTGTCTTTCTGTAAGAAACCAACTTAACAGGGTCAACAGATCCTAGTATGACACACGTGTGGAAAAAATACCTAAGAGGCTGTTGTATGACTAGAAAAATATATAACCTTCTCTCTGTATAACCTTATTATGAGATAGAACTGATATAGAATAAAACAAGATGTATTTTAATATGCAAAAGACATTTTCTCTGCTGGATTACAGTCCTTGTATTTAGAAATCAAAATAGATTTCAAGTGGATAATGAAACTCTGAAGTTTTAGCTTTTTATAAAAGGTCAGCTCACTATTGATGTAAATCAGCTGAATTGTATTTCACACCATAACATTTATCTGCATCAGTGGAGGATCTGTAAACACAGGGAGAATAGTCTTTAGTCTAGGAATGAGAAGCTCAAAGTTTAGTTCCTAGCTGTGCCAACACTTTTCTATAAGAACTTCAAATGCAAATCCCCAGATATTTATTTTTGTTCCGTAAAAATGGAAACAAAACTTTTCTGGATAGTGTATTTAGATTGTAAGCCACATGAGGCAAGACAAACACTGTTGTTATCAAAATGATAGAAACACAGTACTCATCCCTTTTTGTCTCCAGCTACTAATCTGGTCTCTGTGGGCTAGTCAAATAAACTCTGTGATTCACCCTGAGATTCTGCCTGCACAAAAAGAGATTCCAAGTATAACTCTTGAAAAAACTTTCTCTAAATTATTTCCAAATCTGTGAACCTCTGCCCCCCAAACTTCAGAACCGGCATGGAAAAGGTGACTTTTGTATTTTCCCCAGGGCTTAATTGGCATGTGGAACCTCAACCAGATTCTAACACAACTGATACACACCTCTGCAACTGCTGTTCAGCAAATGCAGCACCTTCCTTTTGATGCCTGCCAAATCTGCTTCTTTATTGTCCAAAGCCATTTCACCCAACATCTAAGCTCCTTCTGAGATCCTTCACAACTTTCATGTTTCCTCTTCAGTTACTTTTCTGACTACCTCTTTCCTTCACCTCTCCAAGATTTTGGCTGACGTAAGAAACAGCCCTCAGGCACAATTTACAGCTTAAATTCTCTCCAAATTCCTTAGCCAAAATAATACTGCTACTCTGAACCTTGTGATTTTATTGCTGCTCTCTCCCTTGTGTGCTAGTCATTTTTAACTTCTGTTCAATGCTGTCTCCACAAAAACAAAAGTGCAAATACTCCTTTAAGCATTGAAGAGGGAACTGCTATGACAAATGCAAACACAACAACACAGCCTACAAAAAGAGGGCACTGAATTCATTTCAGGTTGCTGATAGGCCCAAGAAAGCTGTTTTATTCAGTCTGAGATTAAAAAGACACTTAAAAATATAGTTTTCTGCAAAAAAAGAGCAGCATTTAAAAGGCACTTATACGTAAGATCTTATGATCTGGGGCTACAGAGATTAAGAAAATTACACCCACCTTCAGAGCTCAGGCACCCAGGAGAACTCAATAACCCAGTGAAAGATCTGGCAGATCTTTCAGACAGGGTCATGTGAATGAATGCACTTGCAATCAGATGGCACAACTGTGATAGCAGAGAAAGGAATCTCAAGTTTCCTCAAAGCTACTAAGCTTAAATCATATCTTCCTCCAGATAAAGATCCAGGAAAATTTCAACACCAGGTCCATATGTCCTGTTTTTTCTTAGGATCGGACTAGGAAGAAATACTAACATCAAACTTCCAAGATTAACTCATCTTCTACTTTTTCTTTCTCCCTTAGCCTGAGAGAACAAAGGCCCTGTACTGAACCATTTGCAACACTGAATTAGAATTAGAAAAGAGCAGATTGCCAGACAGTCTTGGTAAAAAAACCAATGTGAATGTCATCTACATGGAGCAGATTGTTAAAAATCAATCGGCCTGAACTTGTTCACACAGAAAAAAACTACATAACAAGAAAAACTAGGCAAGTAAATTGCAGCAAAAGATGCTTAAAATATTTGCACAGAAAAGGGGGTAAAAATCTCTTAAATTATCTGCTGTGAATTGCTTTGCCCCCAGGTTTCAGCACTGCAGTATGTTCTACCATTTAAGCAGGAAAAATAATTAGATTTCCAAACTAATTCTTACACACCTCAGTAACTTTGTACTAATATGCAAGGTCTGCAGCTCAAGCTGAGATCTCATGACAGGACTGGTATAAATAGAGGAAATATTTCATTACTATAATGATTGGTTATACTGTTAGGGATAAATCAACAGTGAAACTTCATGAGTTTTCTTCCAGTTGTGCAACAACTTGGATAATGCATCACATACCTGTAGCATGATAGGACAAACCTGCCCTACTCTCGTTCCTTTCAAACTCAAATTGATTTCCCAAATGTCTTGGCTTTTGTTATCCACAAGGCATTATCCTTAACTCTGTTTTTGAGAAATTGCTCAAGATTCCAAGGAGGTGAAGAAGTATCAGTCCAGCTGCAGGTGAGGTGTAACACCTGGCTCATCCTTACAGATGTACTCACAAACAGCAGTGACTTACACATTTGCAGAACAATCTGGCCCAATCAGGTGACATAAATCAAAAATGTTATTGCTGTTTTCTTTCAGCAATAGTAACCAAACCAGCTCACTGCACCCAGCATTTGCTCCTAGGGACAAGGCACCAGGGGAAGCTGGAAAGGAAAGTACATAAGAGTGAAGTTTAGGAACAAAACAAACTTTCTTTAACAAACTAAGAATAAAATTAATAATAAAATAAGTATTATTAAATAAAATTCAGTTAATAAAAGTAATGTCATTTTTTGGTCAGGAACCCTCTTGCAGCCCAGCAGGCAGAGCCCCTCTCCCTGCCCTCCCGCAGCATGGGGCACACTGGGTTCCACTGCCCTCCTTCCCTCTTGTTTATGACAGCTGCAGGGAGACACCTCGCCTTCTACAGGGTGAAAATTTTTCATTTCAGCTCTTAAGAATCAAAACCATCTTTTTTTCAACTTTTAGATAAAACTGCTTCAAAAATCCTAGTCAAACTCAGAAATCATTTCAGAATGATTGAAATTGCATTGCTTGGGGAGTTATTTTCTGGGAAGAAATGAAATTAAAAATTAACAGTTCTCCTCTAAATAAAACGGCCCTGTATTCTCTTTCTGGCTATGCCACAAGCTTTTTTGTCTGCTAAGTTATTCAAATTCTCTTTGCCTGACTTGTCTTATTGTTCACACACTGATCATGATGCTGCTGGTCTCCAAGGGTGCTACAAAGCTGCATCACTAATACCAGCAGTCTTTGAGACTTCTGTATGGAAGATAGCATGGAAATGAAAAAATTAGGATTTTGCACTGAGCAGCAATAATGTCTCTTACTCATTTGACAATGAGAAGCAATAATATCTTTTACTCCTTTGAAAATGAGACAGAGAGAAGAGTCAAGTATACAGTGCCACATTTAATTCCACAAACTGAAAGAAAACAACTGCTTTAAAGAGTGTAACACTATAAGAAGTATTGCTGGATTTCATAAACATTCAAATTTTCCTGCTGTCCAAAACTATCATTCCATCAAGCTTTTAACCTTTGCTGTAGAATTTCAAATATTTATTTTACGATAACTTAACATTTGGTGACAACAAGCTACAATCTCATTTTAAATTGTTTAAAATGAGAATTTAACTTGGATTTAACCAGAAATATACATGAGAAGTGATTGCTCTGTTTGTTGACAGAGGCCCCACCTAGCAGCTCTACCATCCTAGCATGCAAAAATCTGCAGCAGAGGAACCATGATGCTGTGCAGAGCTCTCTGAACTGCCTCTAAGAAGTCATTCAGACTATGAACATTTATGTTGGTTTTTTTTCAGGTTAATCACCAACAGATCACATTTTTTCCCCAGAAGGTGACCCACCCCTTCTGCTGGGGTGGATGCTGCCCTCGACTGCCCACATTTCTCAGGGGAGGCCCTGGACAAGAGCCTGACGTCAATGTCCAGAGGCACTGGGCTGCCTCCATAAATGTCAGCCTGGGGAGGCAGCAGGATGGAGCAGGGCCTGCACACACTGCATGCTTGAGCTGATGCAGGTGCTCATAACTTATTGCAGATGGAGATATAAATTGCTGACATCTCTCCCAGGACCACAGCATTAAGTATGCGTGCACAATTCCATATGTAAGAGTTTGAAGCCACAACGACTTCCTCAGGAGAAGCATCCTTTAGGGAGCAGAGTGGTGGAATTTTTCCTTTCATCTGGAGGGAAAGGGCCCAAAGGAAAAGAGTGATGAGATGTTTGTTTATAATTTTAAAATGAGCTTCTAGAAAAAGAACGTTGAAACATTTTTGTCCTGAAAGGAGAGACATTGTGGTCTTTATTTTTATCACTTAGAAAGCCAATGGCAAGAATACAGAATACCATGAACCAAGAAAATATAGGTGTTGCAAGAGAAAGAAATGTGTCTTTTGCCCCTAGTTTAAATGAGGGAGAAATTTGGTGGGTTCTACAAGGACCTAAGTTAAAACGTCATCTATTTCAATTGCAGCTGTGCCCTTCCATTTTGAAATGTAGCAGACTTCATAAACTTCATACATTAAACTCAGGAAGCTAAACCACCCACAGCTTCAACCTGTGATTTCAGGGAAGAAATTACAGGAGATTTTGAGCATGAGAACACCTTTGTGTGACTGTGGGGATCTCTACAGACCCCCTTAACCCTCCAAATGCTAAATAGTGAAGAAAGCATTCAGCTAAGATGGAAACAGAGATTTTGTGATTTAAGAATGTAGCCATCCTACCAGAAATGTTACCAAATTGTCCTTTCAGCTTCCCCCATACCCTCTCACTGTATCCTGCCTCCCAAACCATGCTGAGTTCTCCAGACACCATCCCACATGCACGAAGACTGAAAATCTGCTTTTCTAGGCTAGGGAGCCTCTGCAGCATCACAGGAGTAATACTTGGATTTCATGCAAGAGTGATGCAAGAGCAGTGGAAGTTGTTCTACAGTTAACAAATATATTGGTATTTAATCCAGCAAACATCGTAAACACAAGTGCAAATATTTTAATAAGCTACTGTGTAGTCATTAAATATTGAAATCTGTTCTTAATTAAGTGCTTCGTTTGACATAATAATCCTCATTCTCAATGCAAGATTTAGCCTCGTTCCAACACAAGGGCAGCAGCATGACATGATGTGTTGGACCATCTGTGTTTACAATCACTGACTTTTCTAATGTATATATGAAAATGAGGTCAAGCCTGGAACAGGTTGCTTTATTTAGTTGGAAGATAGCTCAGGCTGTTACTAGACACCAAATCCATGACTTTTCAGAAGTCTGACCAATTACAGAAATGAACTGTTCTGTTGAAATAACACTTCTGAAAGTTTTTCACATTTCTTGGAAAATGATGCAGTGCTGCAGAAGTACTTAAATTCATCCAATTTTTTTGCTGCTACAAGTACCTGTGGCAATGTGTATGCTGAAAATTAGAGGAAAATACAACAACCATGGTTTTCAGGATTTTATAAATTCTAAACCACGTCCCTCATGGACTTTTTCCCTGCTTTGTTCAATAGAGCTATAGCTTCAAGAAGAATTTAGACAATATACATTATCACTTTTAAATTACATTTCCAGGCCCATTCCAATTTTCAATATCCTTACTCTTACTATTTTTAAACACAAGAATAATTACTGAAAGATTAGTGGAATATCATATTCAGCTATGCAACTCATTACCAAAAAAAAGAATTATACCATCCCAAGTTTTACTAACTTTGCATTAGTAAGGATATCATTACTGAAAGAGGCCAAACCTGTGAGCAGGGGAGAGGTTTGGCATGGGAAGAGAAGGGACAAAGACATCAGAGCACTGTGGAGAAGTGTTCATGCCAGTACCTACAACAAAACAGAGCCACTCCTTGTGAGAACTGCAGCCACAACCACCAGCAGGCTGTGGGAATCCATATGGAAGGCAGGAGCTTGCTCAGTTTCCCTCAAATTACACTGGAAAAATGTTACAGTGTGAGGGATGATTCCTGCAAACATGCACACATTACCTACCCTTACAGCTCTTCAGCCAAGGGCAATAAACTTCTCACAAGAAGAGCAATGAAATTGGGAGAGCAGTTTTCAGTGCTTACAAGACACATCCCCACCCTGCCCAGGAGCTGCAGGTCAGGCTGGGCTAACAGGCACCAAGCACTAAAGGGCTTCTAAAACCCAGTGTGTGAAATACAGAGGTGGGTTACTATTCACTCACTGTGTTTGGTGGTTTTTTCCTAAAATCATCAGTGCCTGTAGCCATGTGATAATTTAGCATTCTTTTAGAGAAACAGTCATGCCTCTAGCTTTCAAAGTTACAAAAAAAAAAAAAACCAGCAAATTGTACTAGCTTGTATATAGCCAGATGGCAAATAAAATTTAAAGGAAGCAACTAAAATGCATTTAGATTCTCTAAATATATTTGGCTTCAATTTTTATCATGTGGTTTGCAAAGCACTAATTTCTATAAATGTATAGAAGGTTGGGATATCCAGGAGGGTGAAGAATTATCTACAGTGACTCCTAAAATTATAACTGGCAAAAGCTGCATTAAATCAAGGTAAGAATACTTAGAAAAATAATGCCAAAATGTGAAAGATTGCAGACATCAGTCTTAGTCACCATTTTTCTTTTCTTCCTATGCCTTTGATCTGGAGAGAGGCAATAAAAGTAATATGAGCTATGAAAGGAAAATCATATAAAAGGGAGGCATCAGAGGCCCATTAAACAAAATCAGTTACAGGGAATGAAGGACAATACATGAGCAAAGAAAAAATTTTCCATTTTAAATTTTTAATCATGACTTTAAAAAATAATTTTAGGCTAGTTTCTTCAGAAAAACAGTGGCTTCTTAGAATATTTTTGCCAGTTATAGACCTTGTTATACATTCTATCTCAATATGCTTTAATACTGCACAAAGACTTTCTCCAAGAAATTTCTAGCCCATGCAACTACTTGTTCCAAACCAGTAACTATAAGAAAATCATTTTGCATTTCTTTGCATTGAGCTTCTGACAGTGGAAGATAAAGAAGGAAGTACTTCACAATAGATCCTCAAACTATTGTTTTAGAGTGACCAGGCAGGGACGAATTTGCCTAACTGACAGCACAAGTAATCAAAGTAATGATTTATAGGAAGGATGGTGTACAGATGGCAACCAACTTTCCCACTGGAGGATGGCAAACATTTTCTGGGAAAAAAAGCAGGAGAAAATATTTTGTACAAAAACCTCAGTATGGTCACTAATAAGACACCTTACAATATTTAGAACAATCAAAGCACTCATTTCTATGTAATATTCCTACCTCTAAGTCATATAATCTGCAAGTGTAAAGACAGATCTTCTAGGACCAATATGTGTTCAAGAGACTGACACATTGGTCTGAAAAATATGGTTTGATACCACAACCATTTCCTTCCTATAAAGGCTCAGAAATATCACTTCCATTGCTGAATGGTTTCTGAAATTCCAGTACCTCTCTTGTAATTAGCACTCTGAAACAGGAACCTTTGTCCACATCCATAAGAACTACATGGTAACGTGAGAAATTGTGCTTGGTTACAAGAGAATTTTAAAACTTACCCAAGAGGAATTAATGGAGGACAAAACCAGGTATGGAGATTCGGATCTCATTTATATATGATCACCCCGAAGATCATAAATAAGTAAATTTTTTTAAAAGGGAAAAAAACCCCAAGCAAATAAAAAAGACTTTCTGAGAGTCCCCTTTCTCATCTACAAATGTTTTATCCATTTAAAAATAAATACAGGTATGTGCATTGGTAATATACTGATCACCATAAACAATCTAGAGAACAGAACGTATACATGCCTCCTGTTGAATTGCAGAGCTTCTCCTCCTTAAAGAAAAAAATATGACACACAGAATCACCATGAAAATATTAATTTTCTTCAACAGTAAAAGCACTAAGTTTTTACTCTTTCATTTGCTCATTTTCATATGCTACATTTAATTACAATGGAACTTGAACTACTTATTAGTTTCTGTTGGATATGACCAGTCTGGGAATTCCCAAGAACTGCCTGAATAAAAAGATTCAGTTCAATATCCACGTTCAGCGGAGTGCAAAGCTCATCCACAAGTGGCTTCTCTTGCTTTGTGAACTGCCACAACCAGTGCAGCAGGATCAGGGGGAGCACGTCACCCATACATTAGCAAATAGAAACTGAAGTGCCAACTGCTGAACACAAATCAGGAGCTAAAAGCCACTTGTTGTTATTCCCTGCACTCTACAGCACAACACAATTATATCATAGGCACAGTTAATTTCAGGCAGCCCAGGTACGGGCTGGCCATCAAATCCCATTCACTCCAAGCACTAAATTATACCAGGAGACGCCTCAGCACTTTCAATGGCATCATTAGTTGGATAAATGCTGCATAATACATGCATTACTATTCAAATTTCCCTATAATTTCTAAAATGAAAAGTGATCACTTCACGTACTTACTTGAAGCAAAAGTTGTTATGGTTGGCTGTTAGTATTACTAGCACCATCACTGAATATATACATATCACTTAATTTTAAAAAATGCATATGTACAGCACAAGCCTGTTATTTGCTTTTTCTAAATGGTCTTTAAATTTCTCATTCAAAAGACAGTTTCCAAACACTCGGCTCTTCCTTTGTGATAAATATTTTCAAAAGTGGAGCTCCACATCTAGAGTCTAAACTTTTACTTAGTGAACCTAATGAGACTGTTGTCAAAAATGTTAATGGCAGAAGAATTTGCTTTTTATAATGTATTGTCACACAAGCATTCTCAAGGAACATTTATGTTCCTAGGGACTGAAACTTCAGCTGCAGCAGCGTGCTGCTCATGTCTGAGCCCTGAGATTGCTTTCCTATTCCTCCCCTGAGAGTCCCATGGATTTGGTTCAAGCACCATTGAATGTGATGCTGTATTAATTGCCCTGGAGGGTAGCAAGGCCTTTGAACTGTGGCTGTGAGTGATATTTTGCTATAAGACATGTGTCAGCACTTGCCTGGTTAACTCTAGGGCTGGGTTGTACAGCATGCTGGGACCAAGTATCTGGAAAACTACTTTGCATCCTAATCTTACATCTGTTTTCTATCATGCTGTGAGATTGACTGGCCATTCTATCAGAGAAGCATCATTCTGGAATAGACAGTCTAAGTAAAAATATTGCACTGTCAAAGAATATTAAGGATACACCATCATCTCTTGTAGTTCATAAAACCAGCTGGCAGAAGGAGACTAAATTAATATAGGGGTTGATGTGCTGTCCTTTCCCCTTTGAGAATAACAGTCTGGGCCCAGCTTGGTTCAGGAGAAACTAAAGTTCAAACAGTTCCACAGTCCCACTTGTGTCTGTTTGTGGGTATAAATTTCCTGTCACACATGTCCTGATCACACAATCACCCATCACATAATCCATCACCATCAGTATGAGAACATCACCAAGAGGTCACAGCAGAGCTAAAGCAAGGCAGCCATGGACATGCATGAAAGCAGGAATTGTAGAATATGAGGAATTTTCAGCAAAGCAGAACAATTTTCATGGCTAGAGGCATGTGTAGAGGATAGATAGACTTAAACTAACTTGTAGATTTAGTCAGGATAAAGATGTCAATTTTGACTTTCAGTGCCTAAGTCATTTTTCCTATTTTTCTCTACCTTTTCCTTTCCTTTTTTCCTGCTTTTCCTTCCTTCTCTCTCTCTGCTCTTCCTTATTTCTATGCCCCCCCCCACCCCCATTTCCCTTCACTTCCTTTCTGGTTCAGTCTGTTAGGAATTCTCTGACAAACAAGGGATATAAACTTACCCTTGTTATCAAGCAAAACCTCTCTCTCTTTCCACAAAACAACATGACCTACATTTTATTCCAGTAATAATCTCTGCTAAAAATAATGTTCAGTAATAATAATTAAACTCTTTATTCTAGAGAGCCTACCTGGCATTCCAGTCAAAAGTAACCATAAATTCACAAAATGTGATAAAATTGGTGTCATGTTCAAATCTACATATTGACTTGCAAACCAGAAATGTATTACATAGTTTCTTACATAAAATAATAAACATTCCCTAGTAATTTATTTGACATTCTAAAATATCAATCAAAAGAAAATACATAGTACTTATACTAAATATTAAAATATATGCCCTTTTCGGGTTTTTTTTGTTTGTTACCTCTTTAATCCATCACAGTAGAATATTTAGGTGAAAGAATGTTGCTATCTGAAGATGAATGTTTAACAAGGATGTCAACTCTAAAATTAAAAAGAGAATTTTTTTTTTAAATGCAAGGTGAAGTATTTCAGATTTCACAGTCTGACAGAGTGACATAAAAAAGTACAAAGTATAGCCTTAATCTTTTGATCTGGGACAAAGAGCTGTCCTTCATGTTGCTGGTAATATGACCTAATGATAGGATAATTTTGCTCCAGCACCTGCAGCTTCAGCCGGTGGAGAGGTGTGTAACTTCTCAGGGTTTTATTCACTATGAGGACATAATTGTGCCTTCATAAAAAAGTACAAGATTTGGGTAGAATCTTTAGTGAGAGGAGAAAATACCCCAGACACACTTATATTTGATGATTAAAAAGGTAAATAATAATCCTTTCCTAAGTAAAATGTCTTAAAGCATACCTAAAACTCACCTCTCTTGTTAGGGCCCAGTAAAATCAGTGCAGCTGATGGAGAAAACTTCCATAAAAGCCAATGTTGCAGCAAAAGTGATAATAATTCCCTTAAGAGGGGCAAGGGGTTCCTAACACAGGACACAGTGCCATTGTGTGTTTTCCCTTAGCCCAGACCCCTGGCTGGTGAGGTATTACCACACATCACCACTCACCTGTTAACTCCCAGAGTCTGTCTGTGTGTGTAAGGATATTTTCTGTGTCCGAGGATGTTACCTGGTGTCACAGCTGAGACAGCCACAACACACAGAACACCACCACACAAAATCAGAAGGCTGCAAGCATCTGCCCTTCCTGTTCTTTGTCCCAGCCTTTTATCCCCTCATGCTGATGCCCTGCCCCTGTGTGCCCTCTGCTCCCTTTGGTGGTTGGTCAGTGCCCCTGGGCACTCCATGGCTCATTGCTGTCAGTGCTGCTCACCTGCTGCTCACAGCTGTGCCCACTGGGGATGAGGCTCAGCCCCACCCCAATCACCACAAACTGTGTGACTACAACCTTGTGTTTAATTTGAAAGGAAAAAGAGCCTTGCTAGAAGACTCTAAATGTGAACTGTCAAACAAGAAAGTTTCTGCACTAAGCAGGAGTATAGTTTGTAGGGATTTATCAAGATAGCCCATCAGATAGACACTTGACATGTAAATTGAATAGCAAATCTGACAGTTCAAATATTAATGCATCCACCTAGGTCTGTCTCACACAGTTACTCCTGCAGTAGGGTTTTTGAAAGCACCCTTGATATCCATTTCAAATCTGGCTGATTTTTAAAGCTGACATTGTATCAACCCAGTTTATTTAGAACTAGCTGTTTAAAGACAGCTCAGTCTGTGATTATTAATTACTGATTCAAGTGACAAGTCATATTTGGTATTCATATTCCTCATTAGCTTTTAACCAGATGAAAAAAAAATCCTCAACACATAGAATATATTTGATAATTTCAACTGAAAGAATTACCACGCTTGCAGGCCAAAGGATTACACTGAAGTGTCCCTCTCTTGGGTTTGCTTGCTCTGCAGGACATGTTTTCTCCCATAATAACCAAATAGCCAAAGGAGCCATGAGTTAAGACTTCCAAGTCAAATACTTGCATCCATCCAAAAGAAACAGTTCTGCTGTACTGCAAACAATAGAATAGGTCCTTGCAAAGCACATTTACACCTTGATGTCTGCAAGCTGGGGACTGCAAAATCAGAGATCCTGGCATCCTCCTGGGTGCTGAGAAGTTTCATTTGCTGCTGGGATCTGCAGGACCTCTTTGCAGAACCAGCTCTGCATTTTGGAACACAGGGCTGCAGAATAGATAGGAGCTCTCTGGCAGGGTGAGATTTCTGGGCTGCACGTGGTCTGGATGCCTCTGAGTTCTGTTGTTACTATCCTTTAAAACATGCTAAATGTTCTCTGGGAAGAATGGAAACACCATTACTCTTAAAAATGCCTTGTAAATAGCAAATAGTAGGCTGAAGGAAGATACAAAATGGAGTACATAGCTATTCTGCTGAATAGGAATTAATCTGGCCTTCTTTAAGAATAGTATTTGCATTTATCATCTGGCTGGACAAAAAAAAATGTAACCATCACCTTCTTTTCCCAGAACAGGTCTTGAGTTCTGTCTTTAAAAAAAATTTGACACCTATCTCAGACTCACTCTTCCATTTTAAAAATACAGTTTCACAGAATCATTATCCAGTAGTCATTAGAGAGATGTAATGATAAATAAAAATAGCTCCCACTAATCTTACTAATAACTCTAAAGTCTCTTCCAACTCAAGTCATTCCTTTGATTCTATGATGCTAATTGTATGAGACCTTTATTTTCAAGTTTCCTGTTAATATATTTCAATTCTCTGATTCATTTCATATCCAGGCCAGACATTATCATAAAAAAATATTGCTTTTGATTTTAGAAATAATCTCTTTTCCCAGTCCTCCATGTTATTTACCAAATTATTCCATCTGTTCCTTAAGAGATCTTCCTATCCAAACCAAAGAAATGTAGATAGAAAAGAGAAAAATAATTTCTTGCCAATTCCATTTTAGTTTACCTTAAAATGGCTGGAAGATACATAAAGAGACAATGTACATGTAGAGAATTATATTTTAGGGGGTCACTACATCTTTCAGACATAATCTAATACCAGGACACAGGAAAACAGTGTGCTACATCATACCAGGCTGTCCAACAAGGCGCAGGGAAACATTTTAGGCCTCCTGTAAAACTCTATCTGAGAGAAAAATAAAAACTTGAATTTCAGGGTTTACTCTATTTTGTGTGTACTTCCATCTTATTAAGAAGTAGCACCAGATTCTGGGCCAAAGGTTCCCAACAACCTTCAGAAAGTGTTCTAATGAAAATATTCAAAGCCTGTCCTACCCTAAACCTTGCCATCACTGAATGTCACAGAAAGTTAATCCCATACTGATTTATCTGCATTTTGAATGTAAACAGTTGGGACAATTGGGACCCTGACAAATATAACTGATAAGACATTTCTCATGCTTTATCCTGATTTTGTGATGCCTGTGACTTGTAAGTACCAAACTCTTTTTCCATCCAATCAAGCACCATATGTCTTCCTGCTTGAGGTGGTACATGGGAGTTTTTAGGAACATTTCACCGGCCCCTTCTAGTGTTTTCATCTCAACTATTATGTCTCCTGGTAGAAAGGCCAGTTCTTTTCACCATAATTTCTACTTTGTAACAGTCCATTTAAAACAAGCTACTTAGGGATCTTGGGAAGAACCTGCAACTGTCTGCTCATCCTAATCCAGCTCAGCAAAATGCTCAGGCATGGAGCCATGCACAGGAGGCAATCCTGGGGGTGCTGAGCTTCCTTTGGCTTCCAAGGCACAGCAGAAAGCAGGGATGGATCTCCTCTGGCCCTGGGGCAATGGCCTGACCAGTCCTGAGAAATGCCCAAAGGAAACACCAACCCACTATGCAAATGGCAGAGCTCTTAAAGATGCACACCAGCTGTAAGGGCCTTTGAAATTCACAGTGGGGGTTGGTAACTGCAGAAACACAAGAATTTACAAAGTCCACCTCATTTGTCACTTGTTATTATTCTCATTTTCAAAGGTTCAGTATTGCAATGCGTTCAGCTCAATACAGCACACCTGAAAAACAAGCACAATAAAATGAACAATACCCTTTTAAAGTTGAAAAGTGTATGACTTTATCCTTCTGTTCATTTTGCTTTCAGCCTGAAGCAAGTACAAGAAAAAGATAATTTTCCCCAGTAGTAGCAGAAACTTCAGAGGCAACTTGATTTCACAGAGCTTTTGGACTGTATCTGACTGCCATTCTAAACCTCAAGATTTATGTGTATAAACTGTTTTAAAAGCTGATCCAGTCACTGTCATTGAAGCAAGAATGCTAGCTAATAGATTGGTCTGAGCTGGAGATACCTGTACATTTAATTTATAATTTGTAAAATCCTGTACTTTTTCTTTGTATCCAAGATAAATTGCTAAGTGAGCCCACTACAAATGCTCATTAATGCACCATACACAAACTGCCTCTTGTTAAAGGGCAAGGCTTCACACTGCCTGACACATTACTACTTTACAGTAGAAATCTTAATGAAGCGAGAATTTATACTGAATTTACCTGCAGTGCTCAATGAAACAAGAATTTATACTGAATTTACCTACAGTGATGCAAGTTAAAGTATATGTACAATGTAACTGTGGGCAAATGCAAGCTTTGCCTCACCTATGGTGCAAGGCAAAAGCCATAAATTAACCACTGATTAGATAGAATTAATAGAGCCTGACTGCTTTGTCTAATATATTAACTTATGTCTGAGCTATTCCACAACACAGGTGCTTGGTCTGAAGCTGAGATAAGCAGGGCATAGGACATAGGCAGGGACAGATATATAACACCCTTCAAGGGCAGCTGCCTAGCAAAATGCAGAATGTACCAGCATAGGAAACTTGATTCTAGTGCAAGAAAACAATGGTGAAATTAATATCTGGGAGGAGGCTCTCTCATTTATCAATCACCATGTATTGATATCAGACATGAAAGCTTAACCAACGATGACGAGACTAAATGACAAGTGTTTCTTAAAAATAATTAAATCACAGATCATTAAAATAATGAATTAGGAAAAGTTTTGCAGTCAACTCAACAGCTTAGATACAAAATTCTTTACAGCAATGTTTTGGGAAAAATCTTCAAACTTCTCTTGTGCCATGTACTTCACAGCTAACAGAGTCAAATGTCTGGATCCAGGAAAGAGATTGAAGAAAATACAGAATTCATTTTGTGAGGATCTAAGAGTAGAATGGGTACTTGAAATTGAAAGAGAAAATGTTTTTAAAATACCCTCTTTCTGAGTTTGGAACACTGCCTATGAAAGTTGTGATGTCCTTCACTTTGACTTTGTTTCTTACCAAAAGTACATTACTTATGATCAAATGTCAGATTGACATAACCAACTTGTGCTGATCTGCCAATATTTCCAGCTTTTCTGATCTGATAAGATGCTCATTTCAAAAATACTTTACTTTTATCAAAGAAAGATGAAGGTCTCCATGTCCTTTCACCATGCTATTTAACATTGAGCATACCCATGAATTCTTCAATATTGTTTCACACTAAAGGCTGCTTTACTCTCAAGATGTACAGATACCACATTTTTAAAATAGAGATGTTACTTATTTGGTGATTTTTATTTTTATTAATTTCAACATGGTTTTAAAATAACAATAAAAATACACAGCTAACAGTACTTCACTTTGTTATTCCTTAAAACATTTTCACATCATTAGGTGGCTTACAAATATATATGATAACATTGATGAAAGGGCTTGACATTTTAAATTATCAATCTACTAGCTAATAGACGAGAATGAAATTTTGACTAGGTTCAACTCACCACTAAAAGGGTCACTCTGCTTCCTTAGTCAAGAGGAGAATGTGACCTCACTCATCTCTCCATCCAGTTCAAGCCTACAGAAGAACATACTCTTCCCCCAGGAAAATGTGATAAAGCAGCTCATCATGGAGAAGAGAGCCCAGAAGATTTATTTTTAAAAAAGGAAGAAAAGGAAGAGAAAAAAAAAGGCATATCCTTGAAAAATGTGAAATAGAAAAACATGAAATACAACCTCTGGGAAATCTATGTGCCCACAGAGTGTGTGGTTCTGTTGCTCATAACTCAGAAGTAAAAGCCAGAGACAACAGGAAGAGGCGTAATTTTAATAAAGACAGCTTTAGAAAGCTCCCATTTGCTCAGCCTTGTTTGCAGCTGGTGCCCATGAGCAGAGCTGA